ACCAAGGTCATTAATTGTAATGATTTGTTATTATCAGGCAATATAGAAACTTCCACCTACTTCACCCACTCAACCAATCTACTGCATTTTTCAGACAATTGGTTACATTAACTACCTTTAAGCTTTATGTATTAGTTAAATCTGTCACCAACATTTGGGGAGGGGTGTCTAATTTTTTAGCTAATCTAAAAAGACATCTATTTTAAATCTCAGGAAAGTCTTTTTCTTTTGTTAAAAGAAGAACTTTAGAAAAAAATAAATTTGACCGAGTTCAATTGAGCAAAGAAGATGCGTGGGTCAGGCAGCCTCCAGAAGCAGAGTAGGGTCACAGCAATTCCAGGGCTGTCACCTGCTCACATAGCACATATGGAAAATGGAAAAGAAAAGTGACTTCGACAAATGGAGGTGAGGTAACAGAAATAGCTGGACTGGCCACAGCTCTCAGTTTGCCATTTGAACGTGGGTTGAATAGTTGGCCACCTGTGATTGGCTGAAGCTCAGCTTCTTATTACAAGAGTAGATTATAATCTGCATTTACATCAAGCTAGGGCGCAGTTCACTATGTACAGAGAAACCTTTAGGCCAAAGTTAAAATACGTATGGAAGCAGCTTTAGGCCAAACTTAATTCAATTTCACACTTTCTAACAGATTCCAGATTCTAGTGGGAGCTGCTCTTCTCTAGTAAAGAAAAAGGTCTTGTTATTTTAACTAATGGTTTGTGTACTGTGGGCTTTTTGACTAGATAAATAACAAATGGGTATAATCATTTTAGTATTAATGAGCCAAGCAAGCTCTAAGTGTCTCATTCTATTAAAAAAAGACAAATTTGTTGAAAGGCTATAGCTTTGTTTTTCTGCATGATAAGGCTACCATTAGTTGTTCAAGATTAAATTGCTAAAAAAATCTTCCTTCCTGGAAATTAATTGATAATACATTATCATAACACTTATGATCCTGGATTACCTATTGGAGTGGAGTCAATATTAACAACAGCCACCAAAAGAAAATGAACAAAAAAACACAAGACAAACACAAAACTCCCTGTATGAAGGAAATTTGAATAATGATGACATATGTACAGACAGTAATACTTAACTGTATTTTGAATGTTGAAGTCATATTTATTAAGATAATTTTTTAAATACAAAACATACATTCTCAACTACTTTTGAAAATGTAGGCCATCATGCTTCATTTTTTTTCCAAGAATGTGATCATATAGGAATATATTTCACAGACATAGAAATTTAGCAATTTTTAAAGGATTTCATGCCATAGGTAGGAAGAGATCTACCGGTGTTTTCAAGGTCAAACCCAAATGAAACTAGCTCATACTTACTCAGCACAGTGTTGAAGAACAAAAGAATCCTATTGCCACTAACCAGGTTTTGAAGTTTTGTTTTTTAGGCCTATGCCTTCTGTCTGATAATTCTGTATTTTACTTTTGAAATAAAAATAATCACCCATTTATTCTTAAATTTAGCAAAGGCTTTTAAGGTTACTCAATTAGGGTATCCATTTTAAGGACGATAAAAGAAGGAATAGAATAAAATTATTCAAGAAGAATTAGTCATAACCAAAGCAGAAACCAGAAATGATCACAGGAAAACATTTCTGAGGGGATAATTTAATAACATTACTAAAAGTGTGGGAATCCGTATAACACCTGGATGATTAGAAAAGGGGTTATTAGCTGAGCCATTGTCTGAAACCCACTGAATCACTGATCCCTTTGAAAAATGATTGGTCCTTTTTTTCTAAAGATGGGTTTTAAAATTTAAGAGAAGCTCCAAGCAGCAAGGCTGAGAGAGAAAAAGAATACAGACCTTTCGTGGTTCTAGATTTCTCTTTATAGGTCTAGGTGTAAGGTAAGATACCAAATCTTTGCTTTCATAATTTTAAGAACCCAAATTAGTGAACTCTGCAGGATAGACTAACAAAGTCAACCTAAA